TGCCATTGTAGTTTCGTGAGTGATGCCAACAGGAGCTATCCATTAAAGCCTCGTGAATCCCACAGAAGGCGTGCCATTGGGGAAAATCCCCACCCTGACACGTGCATTCTTGTGGCGATTTCGGCTGGTGGCCTTGTTGCTCACAAGATGAAGAGCATGGGTTCGGTTACCACATCGACCGAATTCATGAGCTTTGTGCAAATGGTGCTTAAGAAGTATGATTCTGAAGCAACCATGTTCTATGGCTTCGACAGTGCACCTGCCGAGATAGCCAATGCTATCAAGGATCAGGTTGCAAGTCGTGGCCATGGACACAAAGCTTTCTTCCTTCGTCGTAGTTCACTTGGGAATCCAGTTACATGCTTATTCCATGATGTTCTACAGACCATGAGTCGAAAGCGATTGGATAGGTCACGCAATGAAGGTGTGGACATGCGTTTTGAAAGTGCTCTTAGCAGAGTTACTTCAAGCATGTGTTCATTGTACATCCGCCAATCATTCCCCGCTGACGAATAAATCCTCATCCATCCCACTCCTTTCCTTTCTACGCTCTTTTTTGTATGCCCTGCCACTCCTTTTCTTTGTATGCTCTTTACTCTTTTTTTTTGCTTGTATGCCTTATCTTTGTATGCCCTTATTTTTAATCATTTCATATACCCATGCTTTCCATAACTTGTATCAATATATATGCTTTCATGTCTTTATGTATCAAAACTATTCATCATTCACACCTTTAGCTGTAGGCGGGTATTCCATACTCATATGTAAGTTCGCCAACGCTGTGTACATGCATGTGCGATATGGTTTGGTTATCTGCGTATTGTATCGGCCAACAACAACAGTGCTTTTGAAAAGAGAAAGGATGTCGCTGTCAATGACCAACTACATGTGTTGACAAACGTGATGCTGCTCCATGCAGTTTATCTCTAGCCAACGTTGCTGATGTCTTGTCGATTGACCTACACTGTTGTATGAAGCTGTGTAGGCTTTGGGTGGTGACATGTCATGCCGAATTAACCTTGGAATCCCGACAGCCCTCGACACTGAAAATCCTTCAAGTTGCGCTTTTTCATGGACACCTCTTTGCTCGTACTCTCCTCATTGCTTCTCCAACAATCTGAACCACTCTACAATCTGCTGAGCACCTTCCAATTCGACGCATGTTGTGTTCACCAAGTCATCGGGTCAATCGGTTCCACATTGCTGGCAGTAAACACTAGTTGGCATGGGTGCAGGTAACGTTATCACCTTTCACAGTAAGCCCAGCTTTTTTATAGACTCCAACAACACACCTCATGCTTCGATCCTTGGAGCCGATACGAGATACCATACAGCAGAGATAATGATTCACACGATATATAATGAGAATGAAGGTACGTTTTCACTTTGACATACACGGATGATTATCAAGACACCCTTCAACAAATCCAATTAAGGCACACGAGTACAACAAATACAACGACAAGGGAAAGGGTTATTGTCAGCTACTTTATCCATCCATCATTGGCGTTGACGTCGCGCATTGACTGGGATACATGCATTATTGTTGTAGTATTCGATCCATTCTTGAAGTTGGCCATAAAGCTACTTGTTGATGTTATCATTTCCAACCTTCGTTTGAAAGAGACGCTGGAATTTGGTCAAGGCAGTGATACGGGAGATGATGATGGGGGTGGAGATGATATGGAGGTGAGCATGCTTGTGATCGACGTGTTGGTGAGGTAAACAAAGATGAAAATAGCAGTAAAAGCAAAGGAACAAAAAATAAGAAGTCTCTTTGAGATTGATGTTTATTCTGAAGACGATGCTCCAGTGCTTTTATATCTTAATTCTAATATCGTGGGTGTAGTATGCTGGTAGAGAAGGATGAAGAAAGGATGAGTGTGGTGATGCATGTAAATGTGGTCGTATTGGATCATGCGTACGTATGGTGGAAAGTGGGTGAGATGTAAAGATCCGCATGTGCTTGCATTGTTATGATGGATAATGTTTAACCGATAATCTCAATGTCACTTGATATACGTGTGCACCACAGTTGGAGCTGTTGGCGTGCGTTTATGGATGGTGAGAATCCTTGCGTGAAGCTGGCGATTGTGTACTATGTTAAAAGCTGAAAGATCGGTACATGAGCACACCCAGATACTAGGAATTGTGGGTCCATTATGTGTTTATTCATTTGACCAAAAAAAAGACAAGAAACCAATTACACGTTCCTAATGAAGATAATAGCATAGCTTTAGCTCTGCATCGTCAAACCACCCTATTGCTTCCCTATCCTTACCTACTTGGATTCCTTTGCACATTTATCTTTCAGAGCTTGCAATTCTTTTTCCTTTTCATCAATTATATCTGCTAGCTTTTGAAGGTAGAGCTCACCACCAGCAGCACACACGCTTTCAGGATAAATTTTGGTCAAGCGACCTGTAACGAACAACACCAGTTTCAATATCGGCGAATCACAGTTGTTGACGATGAAGTCCATAGCATGTTTCAGTAACACCGCTACATCGGTGTCCTCATCGAGATCGCCAGGAAGGGCACGAACAAGGACAGCCACCAATTGGTCAGGAGTAGCTTTGTCGTGTATATGGATCGGTTAAGGTACACATCATGTATTCATTATCATCATTTTTATCATTGTATATACAAAAGACAAGCACATAAGCATACAAGAGATGATACACAAGCGTGGATCATCATATACAACTCAGTCCGTTACTCATTTACGATATAGCTTGTTATTGGTAGAAAAGCTTTACTCTTTAGCATCCGCCTAGTTATAGTATTCAGAGGTAGATCGATAGAAAGAGGTCTCTTTTCCCGGACACACACTTTCAGAGTAAACAGCAATCTCACAGACTTTGTTTGTCATTCGTTTATTATCATCTACACACACACACACACACACATACACATACATCTCAAGCTTCACTATACAGAAACATTGTTAGGTTTTCAGGTGCAATGATTACATAAAAGAAGACCTTACACAATGGATTGTGGGATTGGGAGTGACATTTTTTAAAGTCGGGCACCTATTTGCACCCTGTATTTATACTCTTGGTGGGTAATGTGAGCGGTGATACTTCTCCGTATACGGATGCTCATTCCTTCCCGAAGACGACCCATGTTTGTGGCATCACATACAGGGATTGCGATCTTGGTCAAGTTTGTGGGTCCTGCAAGTTGTATAAACAAACACAGATGTGGGTGAATTGGGGCCATGCACTGTAGGAATGACTTTTTCTAATTGACTCCGGCACAATACAGAATGGCTTTAGATACCTAAATAACTCCAAAATCGAGAGGATTTTGTAGTAATCTGGGAATGATCATTCCAGGATGTCTCTGACGGATACCAGATGGGCTCCATTTTGGCACTAGCCATCTTCAATAGCGCTGCAAGATAGCTACGAATGTATGTCGTTTTATCTCCAATTGGGCACGAGTGATCTATTGCTGCAGCAAATTGTGTGCTCATAATGGCCATTTTTGACTAGAATGTTCATGATCATGATACTTCGAATCCATTTACAACTTGAGAGCTGGCTGTTTTAAGATACACAACATCATCAAATAGATTTATTTTGATCTTTCATCACATTCGTGTCACGCTATCATTCAAGTTTCAAGTCTATTTGTTTGTTGTTTGTTTTCTTCTCGATTTTGGTTTTGGTTTAGCCACCTTCTGAACCTTGGAGGCCTTGTTGCTTCTTGTGGTATCCACTACGATTGACAGCATTAGTGAGCTGTTGATGAAGAGGAATAAAATCATAACCTACCATTGTCAAATGAACGCGGGCCTCTCTTCTTGCTTGATCCTCGACGTGGTTTAGATACTTCCATCACATCCCTATATCATCGAAAAATTTGAATAAAGATCTTGTTACATCATTCACCTGGTTCTAGCACTTACTCTTCCTCGACAGGGTGATCTTGATCACGTCTTGGTACTTTTGATGAGGTTTTATCTAAACAATCCATGTATGAGCGGATATCCATCAACGTCGATATCAAGGCTTACCAGTACCAGTGCATGATCCCGTCTCGTCAGATTCCTCGGAAGAGGTGTCACTATCGTCACCTTTGATATCATCAGTACAAGTAATGAAGAAATAGAGTACTTTCAACATCGGAAGACGATGTGCAAACATTGCACGGTTCGGCCGCAGCATCACTTTGACAATCGTCATCTGTGGAGGTTGCAATTAGCATAGTGATATGGAGCAAATTATTGATAGACTTATACGTACCATCAGATGAAGATGCCTTAGTAGTATTGGTACTTGTCCAGAACTTCGCAATCATCAAACGCGCTCCCCAGTGGGCAATACAACTTCCGAGCGGAAGGAATAAAGCAGCGCGTTCTTCCAAGAGCAAAATAGCCGCCCATTGCGCTCTCTTTGGGAGAGAACCCCAAGACACGTCGTTCGAGATATCGAAGGTAGCGCAAATGTCACCTTGAACACCTGAAATCAAGCTGCCTTTGGCATTGTTGCATGCATTCACCAAGTCTTGCTTGCCGAGCACCATATCCAACTGAGTACGTGCTACGTGGTCAACTAGCCATTCCATCAATTTCCAGCTGAATTGGGCTTTGCGTTGAGATCCGTTAAGTTCAACCTCACTTTGGCGAGGATGTGGGACGATGCGATGGGGTCTCAGCAAATCCGAAAAGAGGGACACAGAGGTGCGTTGTGAGTTTACCGGCAGCTCTCCTGCCTGTGGGGCACTAGGTTCGCGGTCTACCAGTATCTTCAAAGTGTCCTGGATTTCCTTCAGTTGGCGGCGAATGTATTGGATCTCTTGAGCAGTTGTAACACTAGTGCTTGATTGAACGCTTGATGGTATGGAAAAAGAATCACTTGGAGAAGAATAAACAGGAAAGCTATTGCCTTCATCGCTCATAATACTGGAACTTGATTGGGATGCATCTTGTCGGGTTAAAAGGCGATACGGATAATGTGCCATTATTGCTCAAAGAAAAACGAGAGAAAGAAGAGCGAAGTAATGCTTACTCGCAGTTGGCGTTTAAAATGTTCCCACAATCAAAGATGTACTGAATTGCTTCATGAGTGTTTATTCACTGCCACTTGCGCTTGGCGTTTGGGCGTTAACAATTATACGGGTGTCCTTCCTCTTAAAGCATATTGAGTGACCCCACCTCAGCTTCGTGCGCCGTATTGTATGACCAATAAACATACGAACGCTCTATAGTTGTTTCAATCCTACCACAGATACAAGCAATGCTAGATACATCGACAACCATCATCCGATCTGCTTTTCGTAATATGGGCCATACATGATTGCAATCGTCATAGACCTCCTTCATTCTCATAAGTGCAAGTAGCCGAGGTTTTGAACCAATGTAATGGCGGAAATAGCATAGCACTTCTCCGAAAAAAGCTCTGCGTTCTAGTTTGACTGGTCGCCGAGGTGGGTTGGTGTCAACAGTAAGTAGGATCTTGACAAAAAAACTTTCTCTTTTGGTAGCGTAACTTGATGGCCTTGTACGTTTTTTCGACTTTGTGGGGAAAGATGAACAATCATATACAGAGCCATCAGGTGTCCATAGATGACTCGCAAGTTCAACCCTTTTTTCGTTGCTGACAATGACACTTTGCTTTTCAAATGTGCTATAGTACTTCTCCAAGTACTTCTTAACGTCCACGCCAACAGCAGCAGAAAACTGCCCAATAGTCATTTGGCGGATCGGGCCCCACAATTCCTCACTATCATCGCTACCCAAAGTCAAAACTTGATGTCTTTGGCAGTCTTCATCAACATCATCTTGCATGTCCTTGCGTAATTTTATCAGCCGATCCAAACGATGCCTCGCTGCAAATTGTTTCATAAGGTTGGCAGCGTTCTTGCCTGGCTCCTTCTTCGATTTGATGTTTTTTTTGTACTCGCCAATGACTCTTTCATTTGCGAAAGCGCTGTAAGAGTGCATTGGGCCTAGCTTTCGCATAATGTCGGGAACATGCTTCAATAAATGTAGGTTTACCGTAAATACGGTTTCTTCGATAACTTTATCATCCATTGACAAAGACACCAAGAAGCCATTCCACTTATCAATACATTCTCCTAGAGTTTCGATATCTTCTGAATCAACTTGCGGCTGGCACATAATATTGCACGCTTGAGAAATGTTAGATAGGGCTGCTTGACAAGAAGTGTCGGTATAGTCGTCGAAAAAGATTGTTGGGATAATAAAACGCATGAAATGGATCCAATCGACTGCTCGGTAAAACGCATGATCGCCAATTGATTTGATGCTGCCGGAGTAAGTAGAAGGGATAAAGCGATGTGATGTTTGGATGCTTTGATCAACACAAGTGAATTCGGATGGTGCCAACTTGAAGGGGTTGTGCTTAGAATTGGATCGTCTCCCTTCAACCTTTACATCGTAATAGCCCTCGAAGATTCGGACCAATTGTTTTCCAATATTGGCTACAAGATGCATGACATCAATTGGAAAAAAAGACACCACTAAAGAAGGGTAGTTTGGCAAATGGTGTTGGTTGCTGAAGTCCATGATCTTTATCGCCTGTAGCAAAATCAGTTATCGTACGATATCGTGCTCTCAAAGGCTTTCGCTTTCCATTTGCTAGTGGTTCATCCCGTGAAACAGGCGGATAAGTATACCGATGTTTCAGGTATTTTGCAGCATAAACGCAAAGGCGACAACCGTATTCATGAGTATGCAATGCATGGCCTGATACCTTGCTTTGCGCTGGGATGTCGCCACCAACAAACAACAAATGTGCTCTTGCAAACAATGATGCACCTTCTTGGCAAAGGACTCTGATACCTCGATTGTCCAAAGTTGCTAATTCATCCATCACGGGCTTTAGAAAAGAGAAGAGATCTTTAGGTTGAAATGGACCAGGTATAATGCATGGCTGTAGCATGAACTTGCTCTCGGTACGTATGCTTCGTGGAAGATTCAATACAACAATATTGACCATGGTAAGCGACGAATGGCCTTTCTTAAACACTTCAAAGCCATCAGTGAACATGCCGAGCATAAGAGGCTTGCATTCCGGATCATCATAGGACTTGACGATATCACGAACAATAGCGCCATCGAATACATCCTCCATACAATCTTCTTCGTCGGCTTCATTGCCATCCGTTGCCCTTGGGAATTCGAGAATCTCTCTCACTTCCGGATCATATAACAATAATGCCAGCTGTTCCGAAATCGATAGGTATGTAACTTGCTGCACTGGTTGACCATCAATCCAACGAGGAACACCGTTCTTGTCACATAAGGTGCATTCTGTTGTATCATCGCCTGGACCATACAACTTGCAACCATTACGACATGCATCGAAATCAACGGACTTTACTGGATAGCTATTGCTTGGGAGCTTCTGGTTCAAATACGTCGACATTAAAGGGGGCGCATTTGGGGCATGTTGTTGCATGTATCCGTTAAGCATCTTCACCACCTCGTCGAAAGCATCTCTGGATAAACCTCGCCGTGTCAAGAGAGCATGTAATTGCAAACTGAATTTGGCACTGTCATCGATATGTGTGTTGCCGCCAAAGTCGATAACAACGGGTTGTTGATTATCGTTTACATCTTGGTGCATGGATGCTGATTCTATTTCCATATCACAAGCATCAACGCTGTAGCTTCTTGTATCATCACTGGCTTCGGTGGCATGATATGGAAGATTCCGATCCATGTCGGTTGTATTCGAATTTTGCTGTCCCTAGTAACATTGCGGCGTCAAATGTCAACTGCTTGAAGTGCGATAAATGTTCGTTGAAACTATACCTGGGTAGAATTCGATACCCTTCCACATAGGGCTGCAGGTGTTTGCAAAAATCCAGAGTCAAATGGGGTGGGTAGCTCAGCTGTCTAAAGAAACCAAACATTACGGAGTTAAGCTACATGTTGTTGTACGTCATATGAGGAAGGGATTACCTGTAGCAAATCCAAAACTCGAGATTTGGGTACGTGTAATTTGACAGGACGATGGGCGGGACGACGTCGCTTTGAACATCGATGTACATGTTTATCGAGACTGAACCTCTCTTTCCATCGCTTGCAAAGAGGGCATTGGACGTTTTTCGTTTTATGGCTAGCCATTGTCAAGGGAAACTCGCAAAAAATATAGTTGCAGTAAGAAAGGATTACTTATTCAATCGTGCCATTCGACGAGAACACTAATCGTATTGTTTATTTAGGTTAAAAAACGCCATGTAGTTAACAAGGTGATGCGCAGAGCCCTCGAGGAATCGTGATAGCTGTAGTGTATGCACACCACAGCTATGCAGGTATCGTGTGATGTAACACAAGCAATGTCCACTGTTGTGCATTCTTTCTTGTTTTATCCCCAATACACAATCAAGCTGATTCAGAGCCATTTAGATATCTTGTTTAGTTATTTAATGATAAACTTTAGCTGAATGATGAACGAAAAGCCATTTAGTAGCCATACAGAGCTGTTCCAGTAAATTGTAGTTGTTTTGGGATGAAATGGAGCTAATCAGAGAAGGTTTTCCTACAGTGATGAAATGTTGCACGCTACGATGTGTTGAAACACTCATCGCATGTGAGCTCTTTTGCTAAACTGCCACTGAATGCGTACACAAAGTTGACTTGTGGAAGGGGACACTGTTGG